TCTGTCAACGGGGGGGGGGGTGAGCATATATATATATATATATATATGTGTGTGTGTATATATATATAAGTATGTATAGTCATGTGTATGCATATATGTTTATATACATGTACATATATACATTTACGCACACGAAAGTTCCAGATGAGCAGAGGTTGGTGCCCTCCATCTGTGAAGTTTTCCACAAGCAAGATTTATGGATTTATGATAGCATAATATAGTATCGCATAGTATAGTATAGTATAGTATAGTATAGTATAAACGAAGTGCCGTTTACTGCCTAGGGCCGAGTTTCTCTAAAGAGACCCGACCTACTCAACAGATTGTTGAGAGCCTGAGTTTGGGCTCGGCGATGAGCGACCCCTGGCAGGGCGAGGCTGAAGGCCTGACTTAAGAATTAGGGTTTTAGGGTTCAGGGTTTTAGGGTTTAGGGTTCAGGGTTTATGCTTGAAGCCAGATTTGCATGTTGGGAGAGGGGGGGGCGTGGGTTGGGGCTGTGTGCTCGGACCTTGGCGAAGAGCACAGGCTTTCTGTGTGTGCCTCAACCCGACACCCGACAAACTCAACCCATCCTAAACCCCAAACCTCTGCCCAGTCAGCCGTGGCGATGCGGCGACACGCCTGGGTCAGCGGAACCTACTGCCTCGGGCTTGGACACCTTCCACCTCAAAGCCCATGGGGTCGATGATGAGTTAAATGTTAATGTCGCTCCTTGCTTAGCCGCATCCAGTCAGAAGGGTGTAAGACCATCAGGGGATTTCCGAAGCTGGGCTTCAAGAGTTTGTATGCATGCGTCGCAGTCTCTCTCGTTTGCCCTCTAGGGGCTTCGGTTCTTGCGCCCGAAAGCTCGTGGGCTCATGTGTGCCTGAGGGACCTCGCAGGTACAGTTTCGGGGATGTTGGGAGCCTTGTGATGACCGATGCTCGGGCCAAGTGGCCGTCCAGGCACGCATCCTTCCCGACGATTCCGAAGACCTCGAATCGGGGCGAGCCAAACTCTTCGAAGCACTTTGGCGGCAACAGCTGGATCTTGCAGCCGTCCCATGTTCACGAAGAGTTTGTGGTAGTGTCCTCGGAAATGCCACTGCGCTATCCTGTCCCATCGTTTGTCGTGCCATGCCAAGTTGCGCCGTGCTTTGCTATACTGTGCTAATCTATAGTATCCTAGTGCACTATCCTATACTGCATTCTAACAGACTGTAAGGTCATACATACATAAATATGCGTATGTCTGAGCATATGTGTGTGTTATATATATATATATATATGTATATACATATATATGTATATATGCATGAGCAAGAAATTGCTTCCAGAGCTTCTCCGAGGTGACATAGTCCTCCCTACGCACTGTCGAATCCCTGGGGCGCGAGCAACACTTCAAAGCACAAACTTGCACAGCACATGCCCAAGACACACCTGACAGAAGGTTTTCGATTGAACCGATCGCTCCAATTTCGGACCGAAAAACAGAATGTTCCTTCCCCAAACAGTAAAATGCCGGTAATACCAGCACTAAAAGTCAGAGAGGGAAAGACCATTACCACTACCAAGTATATGGGGGCTTCAATGAATACCAGCTTTGGTTCCTTAATCTGAGCATACTGTGTTTTTTTGTAGTATAGTATAGAATAGCATATAGTAGTGTACAAAGTAATACAATATGTTATAATTTAACAATATCGTGTACTATGATGAAATAGGATGTAATATAGTATAATGCAATGTACGATAATGCAAGATAGTAATACGTGGCAGTATAACGAATCTATTTCAGTACAATAATGTAGCTGGATGTAATATACTGGAACTGTATTAGTGCACCATGCTATACTACAATAGAACAGAATAGAATATAGCACATTATAGTATAGTAGTATAGTATAAGATACAAGTATATACATACACAGCGAAGCCCAGGTATTTGGCTGCTGAGGAGGCTTTCCTCGAAGCGCGTGATGTCTTGGAGTGGGGCACCCCGGGTTTCGGGCTATGCAGTTTAGGGGCATATATGGGTTAGGATGCAGCGCCTAGGGCAGGTACTGTTTGAGGCCTCAGGCCTTTATTGCCCAACGCATAGTCAAGGGTGTAGAGCTTTCAAGGGAGGCTGCTTTCTTATGGGTGTAAGATGTGGTTTCGGGTATTTGGCCTGCCATGTATCCTAAACCCTAAACCCTCAACATCCCTAAACCCTATTTAGAGACTTACGGTATAGGGCCCGTGGGATTAGGGCTTCGGGCAGTCGCAATGCAGATTTAGTTGCTCAGAGTGCAGAGAACGCACCTTTCTGGTGCAAACTCGCATCTGACCTCCGTAGTTATCGAGGTTTTCGGACACGAAGCATATGTAGCGTTCTGGAGAAGTGCAAGGGGGTGAAAAGCTGGTGCTGCCAACCTCCCTGGCTGTCTCTGACTGAAGGTTTCGGGATTCCGACTCGGTGCAGTTCGACGGCGTTTGGGTGCAGGACTCCGCCTAGACCCGAAGCCGAAAGCCTCGTAGGTCTCAGGCTTACACTGCGATCGTGGCAAAAATCGCTGCATGTAATGTCAGCATCCCCCGCGATCCTATGCTTGCGGTATCTCACAGCGCTCAAGCTTGGCAGCCGTCCCCTTCACTCCCCTCCCTCTAAGATCCCGCCGAAAGACAAGGTACGAGCCTCCGGTTCGAGCCGCCGACAGTATAGTATTACTAGTAGAGTATAGTACAGTATAGTATAGTTTTACTGGGGGTCAATAAGGAAAAAAGCCACCGTACCTTTGAGCATAAGCGCTCAAGGCGGGCTAGGAGGTTTCACGTCCAAATCCAGCCAACACGGCGCCAGGATCGGCGGACCACCTAAAACACACCGAGTACAATAAACTCTTCATAAATGCCCACCGAACCACACAGAACCTTCGGATCAAAAAAGCTTCGGATTTAGGGCCTTTGGGGTTCGTCGATCTCGTTGGGGGACACATGGAGTGATACTCCTCGGAGGCAAGCTCTTTCTAGCTTCACCTTCGGTTTTTCGAGCCATGTGGTGATGTTGTTAGAGAGAGCTCAAAGTCAAGCCGAAACCCCGAGGACATCCAGCAAATGCTGGCCAGTGAACCTGACCCGGAGTGGAGCGTCTGGCCTGCATGGGAGGACGGAGGCTTCAGGTAGCAGGGCCTTGAAGCTTGAGCTCCATCATCATCTTCATCACTTCATCCTCGTCCCCATCCTCATCACCACATCCTTATCCTCCTCCTCCTCCTCCTCCTCATCATCATCATTATCATCATCATCATCGTCATCAGTATCATCGTCACCATCATCATCATCATCATCATCAACATCATCACCACCATCATCATCATCGTCGTCCTCGTCATTGTCATCATCATTCCCCCCCGCCATTTGTCGTATCATTTGTGTCTCTTCATTGCGATCCGTTGCATTTTTTTCTCATCCGCCCGCGGCCTAAAAGCTCTGAGCCCGCAAGGCTGAAGCCCAGACTAGTGAAACCCTGAACTTCGGTCCCTAATTATAGGGGCCTGAATAATTACCTATACTATTTTGGTGGTTCCTGATTAGAATTATAGTATAACATACCCCAAAACCCTATTTTAATTATCAAGGCCCGTACAGTAACTCCTCAGCTCTGGCCGTCGAAACTTATCGGCCTACAACGCGGGCTACGTCCCGAGCCCGGGTGCTGAAAAGGTCAGTTGTATTTTCCCCGACGGGATCCGAATAGAATCATAGTATAACATACAGCAAAACTCTGTTCTAAAGAAAACCATAAGCCCTAAACTTTAAAACCCTAAGCCCTAAACCGTAAGCCTTAAGCCGTCAAATTCCGGAGCATCCTACGATTCTCCAGGACCCGGGAACTCGGCCCCAGCCTTTGCAGGCCACTTTGAGGCCGGAGCATTGAAATACTATACTATGCTATAGTATACTCTGGTATACTATAGTAGACTATAGTATACTATAGTATACTATAGTATACTATAGTAATACTATACTATACTGTACTGTACTATACTATACTCTACGCTTCGGCGTCGTTTGTAAGTGTTATGCAATCCAAGGTGTCGAAAGGTGACACAAGCTGAAGCCAACAATAGTAGTGAGCATGTCAACTGCCGTACTCTTAACTCAGGTGGAAGGTAGCATAGCACAATCAAAACAAGGTAGCCACGTCACTCGCAACAGTAATAGCTTCCATCGCGAATGTTGGCGGGTTGTAGTGGGAAGATGTGGGTGGCAGGGATGGTTGACGCTTAAGGCGCACAAACCCTGTCCTAATGCCGCACAGAAGCGGCAAGTCTCCGGCACCAAACCCTGAACAAGCGAAACATAAGGCAGAATGCCGATGGCTCACTCCCACTTCTTTGTTTGCACACCTTTCTTCAGGAACCATATCACCCTTGCGTTGGCGACTCCTCACGCGTACAGGGGGGACGGGGTGGTATGTGGTTCTGAAGATTAGGGTAACTTGCAATGAGGCTGCACGATCCCCCCAGACGACATTTAGTCCAACCCCCATAGAACCTGTGTAGCAACCTTCATGTATCCCGGGGCTTCAACCACCCGGTAACCACCCTGTTTGTTCTGCTTCCATGTTTTCGGCTTCCTCGAACTGATGTCAAAACTCGGAGAGCTGCAATTGCGAGGCATATCGAGATATCGGAGTTCGTTGCAGCTGCGAGGAATGAGGGCACGCAGGTTGGATGAGCGGGTCGTAGTTGCGTCTGCTGCCAGTGGAACTATTCTAGAACCTTCGTAGAGCCCTCGTATGCCCTCATAGAACCCTTGTAGGATCCCGAATGGCGAACCACTTGAATGCGGAGAGTTGCGGATCTGTTTTTGGGATTAGGTTTAGGGTGTAGGCCTCGGGTTAACCCGAGGACCGAGGAGGCTTCAGGTCTGGAATTTGGGGGTTTCTCCATTGCAAAACGTGGCCAGCCATTCGCGAAGCTTTGGTAGTAGTGCGCAGGCCCAGGCAGCATGATGCCTTGATTTTTGCTTTTGGCAAAAATGCCGGTAGTAATTAATGATGCGGATAACGATGCGGTTGCTTTTTTGTTGCTGCCGATGATGATGATGATGATGGTGATGATGATCAGGGTGATGTTGGAGGTGATGATGAAGCGGTGGTGGTGGTGCTGCGACGATGCCAATGGCGGTGAGATGTTGATGGTGGTTGTTGTGGCATTGGTGTTGCCACTTCCCGAGGAAGAAGCAACTGCTGCTGCTTGTGCTGATAATTGGTGCCGACGAGGAGGCGACGGAGAAGATGATAAAGGAGGTGCTGCTGGTGATGATGACGCCGATGAGGATACTGATCTTGAGCCCGTTCTTATGAGAACAACAGATGGGAGTGCGGATGGCCTTTGTGCTTCTGAAACGAGGAACGAGTGCGGTGCATCGCAGGCTGCAAATCCGTATCTACGCCGACCCTTCCAACAGTAAACTGGACTTGTAGTCCCAGACTACTTAGGGAATAATCACAACACCAGGCGCGGCTAATGTTTGCACCGTGAACACAGATATGGACAACAATGACAGCCAGCTTGGTCGGCCAGAACAAGAAGAGTAGTGCGAGCAGTAGCAATTAACCCGATGCATGATATTGGTCAGAATCACCATCACATGAAATCAGTCACAACAGAAAACGGCAACAATGGCAACCATTGCCATTCTTCTACCCTACACCCTGGAAGTCTAGACCCTGAATCCTGAAGCCGACATGATTTGATGTTGCCCGCCTTATCGGGCTTCTCGCTGCCGTTGAAGGCCTTCAAACCGGGGAGCAGGCATTGAGCACTGGAGGCTAAAGCCGAAACCCTACACTCTGGTCTCCCTGAGCCTGGAATTGAGAACAGTTTAAAACCCCAAACCCTGAACTCTGCAGCCTACCCTAAAACCCACGAAACCCTTCTGCCTTCAACGCGATATCCTTTTGCCTTAAACCTTACAGACCCAACGTCCTACATCCGAAACCCTGAACCCTAAACCCGAAACCCTGAACCCTAAACCCTGAACCCGAAACTGAACCCTAAACCCTGAACCCTGAACCCTAAACCCTAAACCCTGAACCCTGAACCCTAAACCCTAAATCCGAAACCCTGAAGGTTCAGATGAGCCACAGCCAGCGCCTCCAGACTCAGCGGAACAGGTCCGGTGTCGATTCTCGGAAGGGGCTGCTTTTGGGGGTCTCCGGGCCGGGCGTCCTTCGGGGTTTCAGGTTTAGGTTTCAGGTTTCAGGGTTAGGTTTTAGGTGGTTTAGGGTTCAGGCTTAGGGCTTAGGTTTAGGGCGTAGGTTTCAGGTTTAGGGCTTGGGTTTCAGGTCTAGGGCCTAGGTTTAGGGCTGAGGTTTCAGGTTTTGGGCTTAGGTTTCAGGTATAGGCGTTTGGGCTTTAAGAGCTTCAGGGTTTAGACTCTCGGGCTGGAAGGTTTTGTTTTGGGCTTGCAGGAGTTTGTTTTACTGGTGGGCTTGAGGCTGAAGGTTTTGTTGGTATCAGTTTCGATTCTTCAGGTCTGTCTTTTGCTTCAGGTTGTTGTTGGTGAGGGTGTGACTGCTCCGATCACTCGTTCATTGGCTTGATTCTGACGGTTTAGAGTGAAGAGCTCAGCGAGGCTTCAGCCTGCTCAAGTCTGTGAGACTAGGGACATGCGAACAGTTGCTGGCGCAGTCACAGAATGACCGGGGATACTCTTCAAGCGCAGGAAGTAGTAGTCTCCCGAAGCTGGACTTGTCGTGACAAGCTGTTCAATGCCAGGGCAAGCACAGCCCCGCGCTATGTGCGACCAGCATCCGCGAGAGGCGGCAGAACTACAATGCCCTTAGCCCGGCATGTTGCGCTCCATGAGTAGCCATCCGTCTTGTGTAGGATCCTCATAGGCATCAGTACCGTACATTCTCAGTCCGAACTCGCCGGGCTGAGTTTGTGTGGAAATGGTGTAAGATTTCGTTGTCATGGCAGGCAATGACAGGAATCCCTGAGCTGTTCATGCATGTCGTGCAGAAAGCATTGTGAGGGGCTTCCCTATGCAAATCGTTGCAAGACATTGCTGCTGTGCCCTCCTCTCTCCTTCAAGGCAGAGGGCAAAGTTTGCCGTAGCCCTTTGTGGCGCTATGAGGGTTTAGGTGGGTTTCCAAAGTTGCCACCCTTTGCCTTCAGCGGCATGCCCTTTGTTTTTGTCTCGTAAAAGGACAAGCTGAAAGGCCGACAGGAGCATATGCCCTCGTCGTGAGGCTCATGCTTTAGGGTTTAGGGGTTTGAGGCGTGAGTGCTGGGGCTTTGCGATTCGGAGAAGCCCTAAACCTTGAACCGTAAACCCTCAGAGGAATGGTTCTGCCAGTTTGGCTGCCTCCGAACCCCTCGAACAAACCGTAAACCCCGCAAACCTCAACCCCGAACTGCAAGCCCTAGGCCGGGGAAGTCTGCACTCTGGCCCAACGAGCGGATGCCCTCGTCCTACAAGGCATCTACAGCGTGTTCTCAGGGCTTGGGATTCCTGCTTCGGGGTGGAGGGTGGAGGTTTTGTTAGAATGATCTTGAGGATCAGGATCGATATTGTGCTAGTCATGACCACAGTCGCAGTAGCTAGTAGCCATGCAAGCAAGCACCGTGTCAATCATGCAGCGGCCATGTTTGTAGCGCCGCATGTTTTGGGCCATTGTTGCAGATTGTGGTGCTGATAAAACGACATTATCGCGGTATTGTGATGCCAAGAGGCAGTTTCGAACATCCCTTTCAACTTGCTAATTGCCGTCACGTTCTAGGTCGAAGATATCCGGGAAGCTGACATGCGCCTCAGGGCTTACTATAGGCGCCTTAATAATTAGAATAGGGTTTGGGGTATATTATATTATGATTATACTAAGGAACCCGATTCTAATTATTAATGGCCCCTACATTACACCCTAAACCCTAAACCCCAGAGGGCTCGGGGTTTCTCGAGGGAGTGGGTTGCTGTCAGACGGCAGGTGACTGAAACAGAAAGGCAAGTAAACAACACAAGCGCCAGGAGCTTTTTTTTTTGTGCTTTTTTGTTTGGTTTTCTATCAAGACAAGCGAAGATATGAATACAAAGCGTGAGACGACAGAACAAACAGCACATAACAACAGCAAACACCTCTCGAGTCCTGCTCGGGGTCTTAGGATGCAAATGCTCGCCAAGTCTCCACAATTGATGATGCTTATCGGTCACCGCCTGCTGTGCTGAAAAGAGATCAAAACAGTCCAAGCTTTCAGCCGGTGGCCAACCCGGGGCCCCGTTTAGTGACATCATCCTGTGGAGCGGACAGAGCAAAAGGATCCATCACATGTTGGTCTCCGTGTCCGTATCGGTGCTTGGGCGTAGAACACCAAGATCCCACAAGCTTTGAACTCCAGAACCCGAAGCTGAACCCTAAACCCTTCCAACTTAGCAGGAAGGATATCTTTCACACAAAAGCCTGAACACCTAACACCTGGGTACACCTGGTGTAACATAGCCTACCTTACTCCCAAGCGATGCTTGTGACCATAAGGAAACGACGAAAAGCAAATGCCACACAGTTCAAGGCTCCTTTGAAGCACGTGCTGTTGGTCTCGTGTCGGCCGGATGAGGCCAGGGTATAGGGTGTGCGGTTTGGGAGAGTTTGCGCGCAGAGCCTCGGATGGCGGTTGGGGCTTGAAGCTGAGGCTACAGGGGTTTGGGGCTGAACTGTGTGTTTTTTTGGGTTCTTCTGGAAGAAAGGCATGATTTTGGAAGGGAGAGAGCAAACCAGACAGGCCAGACCCATTGAGCACGACACAGTCTGGCAATCGAAAACCCCAAGCTCTAAGACCCAACCCTAAAAAAACTGAGTTCTAACTTCCCCAAACACAAAAGCCAGTCCCATGCCTAAACCCTAAACCCTAAACCCTAAACCTTAAACCCTAAACCCTGTTGCCCAGAAACCCTGGGCGGAGTCCAAACCTCGGCCTTCACGATTTATGCGTCGGCACTTTGCAGGGGCCTCAGGTGCGGGTCTTACTGTCTTAGGGGTCTTCAGGTTGTGATAAGGGGCTCAGGGATTAAGGCTTAAGGTTTAAGGTTTGGTGTCTTGAGCTGACGGGTTGTAGAGGGCTCCTGCTTTAGAGGCTTTGGGGTTCCTACAGAATTGTTTCGCATCCAGGCTCTTTGGGTCTGTTGTCTTTTGTTGCCCACCTCTTCTTTTTGCATGAGCACGGGTGCAAGCTGCTCCTGAACGGCGATTACGTAGTTCCTAAACCCTAAACCCTAAACCCTAAACCCTAAACCCTAAACCCTAACTCGGCACATCACCGCAAGCCTGGCAGCCTGGACCTCAAACATCCCGATGGCATGCACGTTCGTTTCGAGAAGGAAGGAAGTATGTGAAACGACGCAGCTGTTTAGGCCAAGGTGCCTCGCAAGACCATGATGTAATCAAGCTCATCATCTGAACTCCCAAGGTGTTTGGCTCAGGGCTTGCAGGGTAAGTTCCGGCAGTGGAAGTGCAATGTTAGATCCGAGGTTTAGCCTAGCCAACCCCAAGACAGTAATCGATACGCAGGAAGTTTGCAGCATGGGTAAGTGTGGATGCCTTTCCACCAGCTGTTCCTGATGCTGGGCAGCAGGAGCCTCTAACCTTATATTTCAGTGCGGATCCGTTTTCGCAGATGAGTGGCTTTTAGGCAGCATACATGCTTCTTGATGCGGTGACTGCAAGATATCCTCCTGCGTGGGTGCAGGAGCTGGGCAAACCACATTACTCAGGCTCCTGGAGTAGCCTGGAGTATTCACAGATCTCTGTCAGGGCCAGGTAAGATGCCTTCATGCATTCCTCTGGAACAGGACTGAATGCCCACTTGCATCCCTGAAGCCCTTTAGTCATAGAAACATGATCTCGCGATGGACATTCTATCAACTGGCAAGATGCCTCAGCAAGCAGTGTGAGAACCCTTTCAGTGCCTATGGAACAATACAGTGCGTTTCAGATGTTGAGGCCGATAGATCGCGTTTCTTTGCAAGGCTTCGTGCCTTGAGCGAGACGGCGACTCCTCGTGAAATGCGGTTTTGCGCCTCTCGCGATCTCTGAACAACACGTGTCCAAAAGCCTGGCCAAACGTCAAAACACTGCCCAGGCCTTTAGCGATCCTAATAATGCATGGCTTAGAGTCGGTCAACCCCAACTATTTTCCTTGACTTGCTGCCTCCTTGAAGTTGCGAGCTGCCTCTTGGTGTTCATGGCCTTGAGCTCTCCGTCAACCACAGCCCAGCGTTGAACGTCTGAAGCTCTCACACCGCGATGTGCTCCCGTGAGGCGCTGCTGTCGAAGGACGAGAGAGCCGAGGAGTGGGATGGTCAGGATGTGCCTCGAATGAACATGGAAAAGGTGGGAGTTTCCGAAAATACGGGGTACCTTATTTTTGGGGGTCCTTATAATAAGGATCCTACTATTTGGGTGCCATATTAGGGTTCCCTATTTTCGGAAGCCCCCATGTGGTGAGTGACTTGAGAGATTGGGGGCGGTGTCACTTGAGTGGCTGTTCTGCAGCTGGTTGGGGTGTTGGTTCCTTGGCACCGCTGGTAGCGTTGCTATTTGGTTGGGTGGCCGCGGTGGCGGCGGTAGTCTGGCCGGTTTGGTGCTGGATCAGGGCGTCTTTGTCCTCTTCGTTGTCGTCCCTGTCGTCGTCGTCGTCGTCGTCGTCGTGTAAGCAGTTAGCAAGTATTAACACGAGGAATTTCAGAAGCATCAGAAGAAAGGCAAACGCACGGATAATCTCTCTGCCATCGTTCTGCTTCCGTAACTGCTTGCATACTGCTGAGAACGGCAAGGTTCAGCGTGAATGGAAGCAAACCAAAACTGTCCTAGTAGCAGCGACCTCCAGAAAAGTAGCGGTGATGAAAGCAAGCAGCTATTGCTTCAAACCATTTCAGATGCAGATGAGTTACAACGACCTAACATAGACCCTAAAGCGTCCTGTTCTTATCACAAGGGATAAATAAGTAGGATAAGGACCCTGAATAAATTGACCCATAGTTCAAGCCTCCGCGGATGTATCGATGCTTGAGGAGCTAAGCGATGCATGTGCATGACAACGGGGATGTAGGGAAAGTGAGCGCATGCGCAAGTGCCATCAACAAGTACATGACTAGCAAACTAGCTAGGGTTTTGCTCTTTGGGTTCCTGGTCTAGCAGTAGAAGTTGCTGCTTGTCCTGGTTATTGCAGCGTCGTGGTCATGGACAGCTCTGTTCCCAGGCAGTACCGGCAACACCCCTAGATCAGATGCCCGACTCCGGTTGTGCTCTTTTCCTACCCGAGCATGATGCGCAAAGGAAGATGACAAGCAAGAGGAGGGTGAGGCAGAGGCCTCACTGGATTGCTCGAAATCTGTGGGCTTGCTGAAAGTTTCTAGGATTCTCGGATCATTGTTCTGGCCGGCGTTGCCTTGCCTCGGCTTCGGAGGCTTGAGCGAGCAGGACAGCCTCTTTCTCTTGATCAGTAGGTCATTAGGTTGCTCTATACCACCATCGGAAGCATGCGCACCACGAACCCTCAGCCCATGAATTCGGGTGGCCCAGCCTGGGGTCATGAAATGTGGCCACGTGGCCAACAGCATCTGTCAGATGCCCAGCATACAAATGTTCCAAACGATAAGCAAATTCGGCCCGACCCAACATCGTCTTCGCAGGTACTTCTGTCAAGATAGTTAGCATAAGCAGACAGTACATGTTTTGCGAAAGCTTCCTTTGCTTGAAGCTGTTCCTTGAAGGTTGCGCCCGTAGCCACGCGCCAGGAGCCGTCCCGGATCCACGAAAACCCAATTGGAACTACACCTAAAGCCCCTAAACCCTAAACCCTAAAGCCTCTCAGGCCATCTCAGACCTTCGGGCTTTGAGCATTTGGACCCTAAGTCGTCAGAAGGCGGCGGGTTTATGGCTGGTGCTTTAGCCTTTACGCTTCTTGCGGCCCTGAACCGGTGAACAATCCTGCGTCACGGTCTGAGAGTCTGGGGAAGGGTTTGAAGCGATTGATGTGATTTGCTGTTCTGCTACATGCTCCTTAGCTGACCACACAGAGCTTGCGCGGCATGGCTGAGTAACCACCTTGCATCGTGGGTTTACAAAGTAGAACCGCGATGGCGGCAGCGATATCGACGGATGTTGTCGGCAATATACGAGCTTGCCAACTTGATGTATTGCCCCTGCAACCCCTACTCCAAACCCCGCGGCCACGGCCTTGTGCAGGAGTCTTCAGACGACCCACCGGTTCAAAAGCGCAGAGCCCGCTTCAAGTCTGTGGCACTTTGGCAGCAAGCTAAAAGGGAAGGGAAGCCGGACCCTTGTGTGTGTAGGTGTGTGTCCTTTAACTTTCAGGGTTTAGGACTTCGGGGGCCAAGGAACCCGGACCCTTGTGCCAAATGTCCCTAAACGTTCCTGACAGATCTATAGTTTAAAGCCTCGGGCTTTTTCTGCATTGCCGACATACTAGACCATGCCTTGAACTCGCCGCATCGCCGTGGTGCAGCGGTCTAGGGGAGCTTACCCGTCGGCATTGTTGCATGATTGCAGGTCCACCGCGCTGCTTCAAGCCTAATCCCTAAACCCTAAAGCCTAAAGCATTTTATCGGCTTTCGGGTCCTGGCCTTCAGCACCTCTTATGGGACGGGGCGAGAACGGGTGAATCAACGCCCTGAATCCTGAAACCCTACACCCTGAACCGTCATGTGGGTGGTTGTCAAAATTATGGTCCCTTTTTGGGTCCTTATTATACTATGGCACCTATTATTTAGGGTACCCCAAAGGGACCCTAATTTTGACAACTACCCATGTATTGAGGTCTGGGCCGCAAGAACCCCATAACCCTAAACCCTGAACCCTAAACCCTAAACCCTAAACCCTCTTTCATGCGAGACTGCTGCCTGAGGTGCGGAAGATCAGCCAGGTTCGCAGCGTCAAGAAGGACGAGAATTCTCCTTCCGGCCTTTCGACTTTAGGGTTTAGGGTGTAGGGTTTTTAGGGTTTAGGGTTTTCGATTTTTTACAGTTTTTAGGGCTTAGGGTTTTCGATTTTTTCGGGTTTAGGGTTTAGGGTTTTTGCGCTCGACAGCCATCCAAAAGGTTTTGGGGGTAGGTCATGCTGGCACTGGTGGTCAGACTAGCAACGAGAACAAACAAGCAGTAGTAATGAAATTACAACCACAACCGCAATCAGGAAGCTACGTACTACGGCAACAAAAGCCAAGGTGGAAAGATGGCAGTGACATGGTGGTCGCAGTAGCAGTAGCAGTGGGAGTACCTTGGTTCTTTGGCTTGCCTCTTTGAAGCCGCCCGCGAAGGCTCCACAAACCCCTAGCATGATCAATTTGTTTTGGAACTGCAAATTCCTAGCAGAATTTACAACGGTCAACCTTTGTTGAGGGTACCCAGCTCCTAAGATATTGCAGCCAGAGGACTTCAAGGAGATAGCCAAAAACAAGGCCGCTTTGTTCCTGTCGCCGCTGCCCACGCCGAACTCGCCACCGCGAACGGTGCCAGGGCAAAAGCAACTCCTTGCGGGATGAACCTAGCGCTGGAAAGATGGATATGGGTTTACTGTTTAGGGTTTAGGATTTACGCTCTATCGTTGAGGGTCTGTAACCAAAACTCTAAAGTACCTTTGGGCCTTGTTGCAAGCTCTCCCTAAAGCGCAAACCCTGAACCCTAAACTCTCTTGGAACCACAGAACCGAATTCATTGGCCACTGTATCGCAAAGTCTGTGCAAGGGGCCTTAGACCCGGCCGCTGGCTTCAGGGAACAGGGTTTAGGGACTAGGGTGTGGGGATTTGGGGTCTTGCCGCCATATGAGGCATCCCTGCGTGACGACCTTGTTCCCAACTTCAGACTCTTGGCCCCCTCCTCAGCATGCAGGGATAAGGGGCCGTGGCGATGTGGGCAGAAACACGGTCTATGTTGGCTCCGCGGACCATTGCACTTGTGACGAATGTTTTCGTTTTGTGTATT